GATCATTCCACTAATAATTCCCGCGGCCAGTGGGGGGGCCCGTCAACTGGAGGCCGAGTCACGTTTATCACGCAGCCGGACCAATTTCGCAGCCAATTACCACTCAATACCTTTAACGACATCGGCGGGTCGAAATCCAGAGTGGTCAGGATGTGGGGTGGGGGGGTCGCACATCCACCGGCACGTAGACCAATCATGAAGCTGTTTCCTAGCGACCTTTTCAACTGAATCATCTGGTGTCTGTGCTCTGCTGAAATGCCCCGTTAGGGACCCGGCAGCCTGATGTGCTTCTTACATGCCCTGTGCCTCACGCTGCTCTTATTAATTAGTCTAAGTGTGATCTATGGTGCTGAGCACTTCTCGGTGGCTGGAGGTCGGTCCAGAATCAAAGGCAGTGGTTCATTACCATTCAGGGGGAATGGCTTTAAATTACAAACCACCACCTCCCCCACTAATGATCGGTGAACTCTGATTGTCCAGGCACAACGTCACACTCTAATTTTAAACACTGTGTAGGTAACAGAGGTCGGATTCGGGTCACGGGACCGGCACGTCACCTGTGTATCTGTGTTGTTGGTGAAATCCTAGAAGACCTTCAACCCTTGACCTTTGACCCCTGACCTGTAGCTAATGTGAGGAATGTTGCCGGTGCTGGCAGTGTGAAGGAAACAACTTGTCAGGGCCCCTCTCTGGTGATACGAGAAATGTGCCCAGAGGGACTGTTAATTCATTTCACACTTCAGTGGAAGCGGGTTAGATTTTTCTGTGGCCGGGCCGAGGGCCCTGCGTTCATGTCAGTCATTAAGGATGCATTTCCCCTTGGAGCTCGGGTGCCACCCAAAGCCCGGCATCTCCTTGGAATAAGACCATCAGGCCCCCTGAAAACGGGGGTGATTTGCAGCAGGCAAGAACAAAACTCGTCTCAGGCCATGGGGGTCCTGGCGGCTGGGGGGGGCTGGAGTGGGTGGGAGGGACACCCCAAATGCACTGCAGGTTAGGGAGATGTTCCCTCAGCAGCTGCAGATGCACATACTCACTATATCGCAAGTGTTTTGATCGATACTCAATTATTAGACGTCCCTCTCCCCATTTTCCCAGGGTTTGGCGCCTTGGGTGGGGGGGGGGGCTTCTCTTGTTCGCTTCGAACCGCCATGATAAAAGCCAGACCACAGCAACCTGAAGGCAGGGAGGGGGGCCAAAGGTAATTTGGATGGCAGCTGCCCCCACCTATGATGACGCTGGAGCAGAGGCAGGGCTCAGAAGGGGTGTAGAGCCGCTGCCGGGATTCGCCCAGTTTAATGGGCCGGTGCTGTGAGCCGCACGCTGGCAGCGTATGACAGGAGGCTGGGAGTTTGTAGGACGGCCTATAAATAATTCAGCAGGCTGTTTTTAAGGCTGCGGTGCCGTCGGAGTTGAGGGTGGAGGACAGGGCCATCCTGTGGCTCTTTACCCATGCATGGCTCTGGGGGGAGGGGCAGGGGTGCATGTCTTTAATCCTTGTGTTTTTGCATACTTAATTTGCTTGTCAAACTCCCTCATCCCGAGATGCAAATAGAAAATGGCCGCTGTCTTTATCAGCTGGGAAAGGTTTCCGGAGCAGTGTGGTTGACCAGCCGTGTGCTGCCCCGCTCTGCTGTGGGCTCCTCCGGCCTGGTGGCGACCTCATCGCCTTCCTCCCCCATGAGTTCCCGGGCTGAGCGTCCGCCCCGGTCTGTCAGAGGGCGCCCTCTAGGTTTCCTCCATCTGC